AGATATTTAACGGAGAAAGAAATAAGCCTGTGGCACTTTGAGCAAAGTCCTGAGGGAAGATGCAGAAATAAATTGCCTTGTAATGGTTTGCTCTACTCAGTCTGAAAGGAAAGGTAAGAACTATCAAAAGGGAATTGCTGTTCACTCCTACCTTTTACTGACAGGAAAAATAATTAAGACCAGCAAATATGCCAGAAAAACACCTCTCAATATTAATTCTTGATTCTATGCACCAAAACTCCTTTACTACAGGGAAAAAAAAAAAGTTACCTTTGTTTAATTCAACTTAAGGCAGTCATAATGAGGAGATACTGCTAGTAACATCAGTCAGCTTCTCATGGGGAAAACTAAATACTGCAGGCTTGTTTAATACCAGCTTTTTGGTATACCTTTGTGGCTTAAAACACAGATAAATTCTTCTTCTCAAAAGTGATACTGACAGCCAGCTAGTAATGGACCACCAGAGATTCAGCCAAAACCACAGCTAGCTGCCCTCATTGCTGAAATGGAGAAATAAATTTCTGAATGCCAGTTTTTCAGCACTTAGCTACATGTTGCAGAAGGTTATCTTTTCTTATACAAGAACTTGGATAGTCTCTATACAGGACTGTTCAAGAAAGATGATATAGCTGGGCATACGTAGTGGCACTGAAATGGAGCTCAACATTAGACTTGCATACCACAGAACAAACTGTGTCAGAAATTGTTGAAATATCTCACAGTCTAATACACCTAATTCTTAACTGAAAAGGAAATTTAGACTGCCAACATTACGCTATACCCTAATTTTTACCATGAAGATGAGATGCAATCATTACCACAATACACCAACATATGAATATTGCTTCACTGCCTAGTAATCACATCTAATGACACAATCCAGTTAAAAGATTCCACAATCCCATTTAAGCAAAATATGAAGCATGCAGTAGCTCATTTCACACTAAGTCTAATAAAATAAACATGTTTCCAATTCTGTACCTCTCCCTGCACAGATATAGCATATATATTTCACACCATAAACCCAGTTATGTTTCTCGGATTCTCTTCTCTTTAATCGGTGTAAAATCAATATTACAGGATTGTTTCACAAAGCAAGTATGGACTAGAAACCAACCAGAATTACAAACACTTCTTTTTAAAAATACTTTTTGAACTTTGAAGTCCCAGGCTGAAAAATAGCTTTGCTCAAGCTATTTCATCATATCCATTATTTGTTAATATTGTGTGTCCCCAAAAAAACCCCAGTCAATATATTACTTAATTTGAAAGGAAATGAATTAAGGTTTCTAAGCTTTAACCCATGCTTATCAAGAAATAAGTCAGGCCATGTTCAGTGACATTCTTTCATAGATCAGATTTTTAATTTATTCTGCAATGAATCTTGAATATAATCTAGTGTTCTATTTTTAACTATTCTAGTTTATGCTTCTGATATGAAATACACTTTCACACTTTCAGAGAACAAAGTTCCAATGTTTATATTAGCAGAAGTGTTTAGGGTAAAGCTAGTGTTAAAAACACCAAGCTGTGAATCTATAAAATTTAGACTATACCATTAAAAAAACCAAAAATATAGCAAACATATACTGTATTATTCCAATAGCTGAGTGTAAAAGTGATTTTCTATTAAAATACCCAATATTTCTGTTAAAAAAAATAGGTTGGATCGCATCATCATTCTCAAGAAAAAACACAAAGCCTTAACTTATGCTTACGAATCCACATGTGAATGGTCCATTTATCATTAAAGTCAGTAGTGCAAATTGCATGCATGAAAGTTCTCTTGACATTCATTACACAAGGAAATAAATGTTATATAAATATCACTTCTGGGCAAAAACTGACACCAATCTAATAATCCACAAATAGTTTAAGAATCATGTTGTTCTACAGTAAAATGCAAATTCTAGACCAAAAATTTTTCCTGACATTATAGGTGCAGATGCATTTACAGGTTCATTCTCTCAATGGTTTTCACTATCTGCCGATTAATCTAAAGAAAGGTTACCTAAAGCCCATCTGCCGTAAAGCTTTGTAGATGGCCCAGGTCAGGAGGCTATCTGCAACTGGACCACAGACTTAAGTCACATAAAGAAAAAAACAGTCATTTTTCTTTTGCTTTCCAATTGTTTTTCACCTGTACAGTTTCTGCAAACATTTGTTTTCTCATTGCTGTCATTTCCCAGGAATTTCTCTGCCTCATCATCCATTAATCACTTTTCCTTCTACCCTTCCTTCTTATTCAGCACAACGCAAATCTCAAGGAAGAAAATGTCACTGTCAAAATTTTTATCAAAATTTCAAATAAAAACAAATTAAACAGCCTTATGACTTTTAGGGCACTTCAGCTTCTTAGGTTCCCCTATCAATATATTAGCTTGACCAGTGGAAGACAAGAGATATTTTAATCAAGTATCCTCCAATATTGTTTTGTTTAGACCATCCTTCTACTCTCAGTGTGTCTCAACAAACTGAAAGGATTTTTCATTCAGGTCTAGGCTGCACCAGTAAAAGCTGAATTTGGCTCTTACAAGTATAAAAAGAGAAGCACAACACACCAACTTGACTCTACCATTTCTTCTACATTCATTATTTTTTACTAAAACACCTAAAGAGACAAAAAGAAGAGACAAGACAGAACATGATGTTGAGAAATTTGTGCTAAAATACCTGCAGCCCAAAATAAAGAGTAGCTACTGCTGATATCAAACTCCATCAGTATTTCGACACAGTAGGTGCCTGTTACTGATTCACAGCAAATGCCTGCTTTCCTAAACTAGCACCCGTGCTTCAGAACCATAATATACAACAGAAGTAGCAACAAACCAGTCTGGGCAGGAAACTTTTTTTTTTCTTTTCTTTTTTTTTTAAAAAAAAGCACCCTAAGATTTATATGTTATCTCTGACTTGTATTACCTCTCTCAGCAAAAAGGGACCCTAGTGCTAGGACTCCAGAGATTTATATGCCAGTGCTCTTGAACAGCTCTTAGGATCAATGCAGTATTACATGGCTGAATTAACAGATCTCTGGAGAGCATCTTCTGTCTCTCATGGTGCAATCTGATGAGCAATATTACTGCGAATATGCAAAAGAGATGCCAAGAGTTTACCAAAGACATACATGTCTTTAAAAGCTCCACCAAGTTATAGCAAGACTCAGGAAATGTATGCTGACAAAATTCAAATAAAAAGGCTCACTTAATGTGCAAACTGACAAAGTGTTCATATGGAGCATGTTAGTAATACATTTTCATTATCAATTATTTACTAAAATCTATTTACAATGTCAGAAGCAATTCTGTAAAAGTCTTCTGCAACAGTATCTCTAATAAAGGGACCTAAACATAATTAAGGTGTTCTGCATTTCTATTGGCTTTCCAAAATACAATGGGGCCAAGAACTGTACTCAGTAAGACTACTCCAACAACTCAAATAACTGTTCTGTGTAGGTAAAGGGATGGGGTGGGTGGAGTAGAAACATATTCTCAGCATTGGTTTCATCCCACTGTTAAATATCTATTTAATTCAATTACTCTAGTGATTTGAATGGTACTTAGCCTTGAATGAAAATTAATTTTAAAGTATCTTTATATTTAAAGATCAAGTAGATACTTCTATCAGACATCAACAGCAAATACAGCCACCAGTATATTCAAAAGGTTCTCCAAGCTAAATTACTTAACCTTCTAGGAGTCTACATGAGACAGCTATGTTTAAAGACCTGAACCTGTAACAACTATGCTGCAAGTATACATTACACTTCACTGCAACATACACCACTAAATAGGAAGAACTCAAACAGTCCCCACTTGGAAGTATTCTCATCTTCTTCTGCATATTTAATTTATTTCCTTGATGTTTCTCCCTCTGTGTGTAACAATTTTCAGTTACAGGGTGCTCTTCTTTTTTATTTAATTACTTGATTCAACAACGAAGAAAAACTTAGGAGTATCATGAAGCAATTTTTTTTCTAGAGGGAACCAAGTGACAATACGTGTTCCAAAACATGTCAAAGTGAGTGAGTAAGAAAGGTGTGGTCTGCTTCAGCTAGCTACAACATTCAAACTTTTAAAGCCAAGGCAGCTGCAATGCTAGTGGTGCAACCAGCATTCCTAGTTTTTTGAAAAGTGCTTTGCTCTGCCAGGCTGTAATGTGGTGTATAGAGTTGCCATCCTGTTTAATGCTTGACTCCAAGTATTCTCAGGTGTCCATATTTAGAAATATTTAATAATCCACAGCTTAGTTTTATTCCAAATATTATCTGCACAACAAATTTCCAATAATTAAACTATACAAGAAACATAAAAGACAGAAATGTAATTACTGTAAAAAACGACACTAAAAATATCACAGTTACACTAAAAACTATTTATACAGACACATAATGGGTCTCTAGAGGACATGTTCTCCCACTTGAGTACACAATTTATAAGCAAGCATTTAATTTTCTTAAGGGCTGCTGCTGCTGCCATGTTTCCACAAAAATATCTACTATAAACTAAAGGGAAGAATAAAATCACTTTGAAATTCTACATAAAACTGAAATCTGTTTATAACTTTCAGAATAGCAACTCATATTCAATATGGCTAAGCACTGACCACCACTACAGTTAAAACAGCTGAGAATACCCACAACTTTGCAGATCAGAGCCTAAACTTTATAAGCAACTATCTGCTTTTCATCACTTAGTTATTTCTTTTAAAACTGCAGAGTACAGTAGGGTGGGTCATGTTAACCAAAAGTCCAGAGGCATTTTGTTGTTCAGATACAGCTAAAGCACTGCTTAAACAAAATAAATAAATGTAGATAAGAGTTCCATCAGCTGACCTTCTTTTTGAAATCACAGAGAAATCACTGTAGACCTTCGCAACTGTAGCAATAAAATTCTCAATACTGCATGCATTAAAACAGTGTTCATAATGCAACTTCATAAAGTGAATTACAGCTTTCTTGCTCTTTTGATTTAATGTTTAACTACTAAAAACTCATGACAAACCTGGGTCCACGTGTCTGGAGTTTCTTCTAATTCCATTTGTTCTTTTCTGCATAGCAAAAACACAAACCAAGGATATGAATAAACATTTTCCTGTATGCATATTGCACTCTTTTCGTTCCCACAATCTACTAGGCAAAGTTGGTTTTCTTATTTCCTCCAACCACCACCACAACTATCCTTACCTTGTAGAAAGATCATACTTTGAAAAACATTCTTAGTAGATAATTTTTTTCATATCTCCCTTTTTTCTGACACTAGACCTAAAAGATTCTTAGCCCACAGACTTATTCAAAGGTCAAAATCTTTTTATATCCAGAAAAAAATCATTTTTCATAATTTATAATTAGGATAGTGGAAAAAGTTGCCATTTAGCCCCTTAAGATATCCACAAACACAAACGTATTGAAGCTGCCTGCATTGCTTTAATAAGGTAGAAATGTCCACTATTCCTACTCTGTACTTAAGGTAGCTAGAATTCCCTATGCAAGTCTTTATTTCCTGATTCTCTAGGCAAGCACTTAAATGTACTTAATAACTCACCCCCCACTTGCTTTTGAATTTAGATTAATCAGAGCTGTGAGAAATCAAAAATTCTCTGACAAGACCTAGACTTTTTTTTCATGTATTTTATACTCCAAAACACTTAATAGGGATCCCTGAAAATTTCAGTGTGAAATAATACTTATCTGGGAACTGGAAGATAGGCTTTTGCAAACTTGCTTTAACTGGTAGCTTGCATGAAGGCTCATGCATTTATTTATTGTTTAATCAAACCAAGCAGAGAAAAGCATGTTGCATAACAAAGGGAACAATTAGGTTGCTCCCATTTACTTGCAGTTGATATAAGCTGATGCAGGACACACACTGAGGCAAGCCAGAAAGCAGCACCCTGAGGCACAACCAAATTACTAAACCCTCTAGCAACCTGGCGAAACTAAAAGCTTGGTTTAAAAAGAGCCTTCAGACTCCTGAGTCTTTGGACACACTTTCTCTGTTCCCTTTAAGTCTAATTAAAGAAAGGATGCAAGTTTTCTTTTGTCTGCAGTGGAAAGAAGAAACACTGAAAACTGCTGCTACAAAAAAAAGGTAATATTACTGAATAAGAACAAAAATGTCCATTATACCCTAAGAATTTTCTTAAATGGAGAAAGTATTGCTGATAAGGATTGATGCAGAGTGGCAAGTAACCGAAGATTTGAACAAGAGAAGGAAAGGTACAGGAGTGGTAAAAGCAAAATACAACAGATCCTAAAACAAAAGAAAAATACAATAATTCTGTGAGCACATAAGTCATATACATCAAAGAACCAGATGGGAAACAATTATTGGGAAATAATTCTTGAGCTGCATGAAAATATTCTCAAAACATTTAAATATGTTGCAGTACCAGTGCATTTTATTACATTACTGGTATGAAATCTAAATCCATGTGTTTCAAAATGACACATCCTCGCCTATCCTCAAGTTTCCTTCTGCACAGAGAGAAATAAAGGAGGCACTTGAACAAAAGTCTTTGTAAAAACGAAAGCAATCTGACAATTTGGATTAACTTGACAGTCAACAGCAAATCAATAGCCCCAGTAAGAAAGCCATTTTTTCCTCACAAAAAAATAGTTACTAATCAAGCTATAGGGTGAGAAGCCAAGGAGTGGAAGGGATTAGATACCATCAATATATGTATTTTCTTCATCCAGCCCCAATATATTTAATACAGTTAGGTTTACCTCGTTGGCAAGGCCCGACAGGCGCGTTATTGCTCCCCAGCGCGGCCTGCCAGCCGTGGGACCCGGAGCGTGTCAGGCCAACAGACTGTGCTGCAGTTTCCATATTCCATGCCCTTACTTAGAAGGTATTTCTAGGCAGACGTGAAAAGCCAGGCAGCACATGGCAGGAGGCACAGCTGAGAGAGCAGTGAGTAGAGAGGGCTTGCAGCAGCACCCTGGGTACAGGTCTGTGGCAGCACTGTGCGCTCCTCACCCCGAGCTCCTCCTGCCACCTCACCTGTCACAGCCAGGGCCCCAGACACCAGTGCCTGCTGCTGCAGCCGGCGCCCACCTGAGCCCCGCAGCAAGGAGCTCGCCAGAGGGTGCTGGGGACCCCCTTGTCTGGCCCCCACCACTGTCTGGGGTCACAGCAACACCAAAAGAGCTCAACCATCAGAGAGCACAGATGTGCTCAGCCCTGCACACAACTCCCCCGGCACCAGTCACATCAGCAGAAACAGTCCTTCCAATTCCAGTACCCATTTTAGTGACAGCAAACATAGACATGCTTGGGGAGAGAAGTAACATACACATTCCCGTGTTGTTCATAACCAACATGTCATTTGAGCATTTAAATTACCTTAGAATTCTGATCTAGAATAATGGCTATGAACTATTATACCTCATGTTTCAAGTGCTGCCTTGCTTTTGCCTGAGCTGGCAGACAAAGCCCAACCGCCATGCCCTCCTGTACTTCCTGGAAAGGCATGAGGAACTGGAGAGAAAACAACCCAGGGTAGCTTGCAGCCGTCTTGGAGTGGTGGCAAGGTATGCCAGCATGTTATCCCAACAGGGCTCACTTGCATTAAAAATTATAATTTAAAAAAGAGTACTGCTAAGCCAACTGCCAAATTTTTTCTTAGGAACACTAAAGATCTAGATATCAGTTGTGAAGCGATACTGTTTTTACTTTCACTTAAAAAACACACCTCCTCCCTTTCCAGTGCTCTCAGCATTAAGCCGTATCAACTGAAAATTGACTCACACTTGGAAAAGAATACGTTTATATTTAATTATTAATCTTGTTTCTTAGACAGCTTGTACTTTTCACTTTTCTAAAGAAATCTGCTGTTAAATACAGAAGAAAAACTTACCTGCTCAAACAACACATGCACAAAGTAAATAAGGAGCTCCTATGTCACTGACAAAACAAACACCACATGAAAAGAAAAACAAATCCTTACCTCATGTTTCAGGTTCCCGTGTTCTGAAACATAAGTAAAAATTGGCATTATTGTCAACTGTAAATTGTACGCTTCTTATAAATCAATCTCAGGCTGTGCTGTGTTGCATTACTGAAAACCCTTCTGCCTCCTGTCGCTACCTGATCCCTGCAGCCTCCCCAGCACCCCGGGGCTGCGCCAGCTCCTGTTGCGCAAACCCAGCTGTGCTCTCCTCCCACCCATCGGCCCTGCCAGGCAGAGCCAGCTGGCTGGGAAAGGCTGTTTGCTGCCCCAAACACTGCACCTCCCAGCAGTGGCATGGCAATCTGGTCTGCTGACTTCTTAAGCGTTTAGAACATTTTAAAAATACTTCATAAATATTGACCTGTTGGAAATTTAAAAGCTAGAGTTCTTCATCGCAAGTCAAGTTTACAGCTTTTCTTATCTGTGTTTTCATAGCATGCCAACATGTATCAAGATAAGATACATACCTCTAGCTGTAAAATGTTCTGTATTTCAGCATTGTATTAGTATTAGAGAGACTCTGAAGTCATCAGTGTTTTATTTGACTTTTGCTAAGTCTTTTCTCGTACTATGTAATAATGAGGGGGGAAAAAAAAGCCTTCTGGGAGATCAGAAGGACTGCATAACAGTAACACCTTTACACACACATACCACTACACATCACAAAAGACACAAAAAGGATTGAATTTTTACATTTTTCTTTGAATGTCTAATTTGATAAGAGGTATTTGGGTGTATTCTAGGTTTTGGTTCGGTTCCTTATCAAAGAACACACAGCTGTATTTACCTGTGAGTGCTCTCTAGGACTGCACATGCTATTGAGGCAAAGCACAAAACTGCACATGCCCAGTCTGTACTTTATTGCATTTGAAAACTTTTACTGTAATATCTTATAAACAGTAAACCATAGTCACAGTAAATCAGCTAAAAGATTTAAATGCAAGTAGATTTTGTTCTGATTAAAACAAAAAATAATAATAAAAATTAAATAGTAAAGTGTGGGAAAAAAAATCTTTGGCTTTCTAACATTTTATGCAAAGATGATAAGACGTGCTGAGACGGGGCACACGCGCTGAGCACTCTGTTCAGGCTGGGGAGGCACAGCCTGTTTACCACCAGCACAGCTCTCTTCTCACGTACACCTTCAGTCAGTATTTCCTCTTTATACAGTGCACCAAAGACGTATCATCTTCTCATCCGCAGAAACCACTTTTATTATTATAACCTTTGCAAAAGCATTAATCTGCATTTGTATAGTGAGCAAAAGAAGAAAAATAAGCCCGCCCCAAAGGAGGAGATGCACGTAGACTACTGAGGTTTTCTAAGGAGCCTGAGGGAATTACTTACCTAAGTACTGCAGAAATTAAATATGATTCTGGTATTTACTTTTCCACTTCTATATGTCTTTCAGAATTCTTTCCAAAATCTGAGTAAAATCACCTCTTCTGAATGTTTTATCTCAGCATTATAATTGACTTTAAATTAAGGGAAGTGACTTATGTAAGTACTTGCATGGGAGGGCAAAATATCAAACCCAGACCTAGGGGTTGTTTTTCTATTTTGTTTTGTTTTAATGGCCTCTGTTTAGTTTTGCAGATCTCTTATTTTTTTAAAAGTAAATAAATAAATAAAAATTAAAATGTCATTCTGTCCTCCAGAGGGAATGAATGAATCTGATTTTTAATGGTTGCTGCTGAATATTATTTTTACCTCTAGGTAATATTGCAAAACCAACTAGATAAATGAGTTCCATTTGGTGACTGAAGCATGTCAACACATTTCGTAAGAAATAATTAAGAAACTCATTGACTTACTTTCAATAATTGGATTCAAGATCTCACTACACAAGAAAGTAATAAGTATTCCTAATAATTCACATAAAATAAATTTCATTAAAAGGGTGGTTGGGGGGACTGGAGTAAAAATTAAGTCCAAAGCTTCAACAGCACTGACAGACCAAAATGCCATTTGTGACTTCAATATTAACATTTCAGGAACAGAAATCTAGTATCTGTATTTCCACATACAAACCTTTTCAAAAAATAAGATATTGTCTTATATTCACTACAGTTGAAATAGTCCTGTGTTACACAATATTTAGTATGAATTAATTGCTTTCTCGTGAGGTTTTTTTCAAATGTTACACAAGTACAAGAGAAAAAAACCTGTGATTTCTATTTATTTCTATTTTTAGAGATAAATTAATGTATGAGGATATCCACCAGCAGATACTTTACACATGACAATTTTAATTCAAGTTTCTGCTCATCTTCAATATGCCAAAGAAATTATTGAGTTCTGAATTCTAACAGCAGGCTACTTTTACTGCCATAGCTCAGAACAATTTTTTGGTATTTTTGTTTATTCACTGAGGCCACTATACCATTGGGTCACATTTTGATAATTATATTTTACTACAAAAGCAACAGGAGTAGCAGCTGACCTCAATAAGTGAGGGAACACAGATCAGAAAATGAGAAGCTGCTCCTCTGGGATGCAAGAGACCAGCTGGATTTACAAGCTAACTAAATGGAAAGTAAAAAGAATAAGTAGTAAACGACTTGCCTTCCTATTTTTAAAGAAATTTCAAAACATTTTAAATGTGTGAACTATAAATTAAGCCACTTCAAAGAAGGTGTGGGACTACCTGGCTCCTTTCTAGTCAGTTAGTCGTCATTGCATAATCAGAAGCAAATTGTGACCTAGAAGCACCATAGTGTCAAACCTCCTAATTGACATTAACATTTTCTTCCTAGTTCATCACACTGTTCAAGAAACTTCTTTTCCACCTAAGGAAATGCACTACTTTCTCAAATGCAATTCTCTGAAGGAGAAAGGAATAATGTATAAGTTAACTAAAAATTACTATAAAAATGCCTGTTTAATGTTTTTCTAATCCATTTATGCCTTCATGAGAGATCCTTCCATTCCCTGGGAACAACATTATAAAGAAGAATGTTTTGTGGGCATGGCACTGCATTTAAAATATTTTTTTTAATTTCAGATTCTAGAACCATTATTGGATGTTAATCTACTTGAAATATTCAATAGTCTGATGAATCATCAACTATTTGCCTGAGAATAGTTAATTTAACATAATTGGACAGACTTGAAAAAATTCCAGTTTGGAAATAGAAATAGATTGCTAACTCTTGTGGGTTTAGACTAGGAAACAGACTGGAGTTCTGCAGTGTGTTCCGAGCAATGTGATACAGTTTTATCAACCCTAAGGACCTCTGCAGAAATTGCAAGGGCCACAGGACCTGCACAGTGGAAGTGGGAATAATAAGACAGATTCTCCCTTTGTCCAATAAAGTTGTGTCTTAGTCATGCTCTCTTACCAAAGGAGCCACTCTTACCATTACCAAAAATAAACACTTCCAACTAGCGGAAGAACATCACCAGGCAAGCAAAATTGTCCTGTGCTTTGAAATAAGGCACAGGAGTGCAGCTGAGAAGCCAAAAGAGGAGGGAAGAGAAGGGGAGACATCCACATCCATCACTAGAGAAAAGATCACCACTGTGCATCCATTTGGTAATCTTTGTGTTTAAGGATTTTATAAGGCCTTGTGTTAAGACTACACAACAAGGAGTATACTATAGCAAAAAAAGAGGGTGTATGAAGGATTGCAAGTCACAGAAAAATGAAGGGATAGGGCATATAAGTAATATTATGAAAAATGCAGAGAGCTACTTGAACATGTGCAGGGCAGCATTTCAGAGGAGAAAAAGTTAAATCAATAATGGCAGAAATGAGCACAGAAGATTTCTTCCGGCACTGTCAATTTACAGTAACAAGGGCAGAAACAGTAACAAAAAAACCCAAAGGCTAAATGCAGAGTTTTTGTTCTCTTTATTAATTCAGCTGATTAACTCTGCACCTTTTATCACTGCAACCTCTGCAGTCTGTTGAACTGGCCTTCTTTGAAGGAAAATATCTGAAGAGCTGGAATATATTTGTGCATATGGCATAGCATGACAACACAGCAGTTCATCATCACACTTTATCAATGTTTCTCTCATACATCTATTATCTAAATATGACACCTATTAAATTTGTCATTCTAAAGGTTTCACCTATCTTTGAATGTCTGTCTTTTGAATTTTCACACACTAATTTGGAATGATATACGAAGATTTAATCTACTCAGAGAGGTTCTAAGGATAATTTCAGAAAGGCTAGGAAAAACACCTGCTCAGAGGTCTGAAAGGAAAACAAAATCTTAAACTATTCAAAAACAGGAAATGCTGAGAAAAACTCAAATGACTTTAAGAAACCTAATAGTATCTTTTCCTTGCAGTGTTTTGAATTCTGATCACTCCTTTTTCAACAGACCTCTAGAAACAGTAGAGGTTTACAGAATGGGAATGAAAATTATTTCAGGCATAGAAGTAGCCCGAATTATTAAGACATAATTTTTTTTAAAAGACTATTATTTTCACAGAGTATACTGAAAAGAGGTCAAGTTATAAAATAATTTCAGTCACTCAAAACTTCCGCTGACTCTTCTCACAAAAACTCAGTCACATGTTAAATTAAAAAGATACAAAGGCCAAACAACCAGGATAAGATATGCAAACTGAAACAAACAAACAAAACAAAACAAAAAAACCAAATGAAAACAGCAAAAGCCAAACAAAAACTTTACAGAACTCACTGTTCCAAAACTTGTGACAGGCAGTTAGATATTTTTGTCAACAAAAATAGGGAACTAGGCAAAAGAATTAAAAAGATGTAAAACATGTAAAAACTTCTAGAACAGCAAAAAGTTTAAAAGTAAATTTAACATGATTAAGAAAGTAGAATCACTCCTGGACATTGTCTACAACACAGAGGATTTGCACTTTCCTGTGAAGCATCTGGAATGAATCACTGGCAGAAAGACAGAACTCCAGATTAAATATAACACTTTATATATATTTATAAAAATATATATGTGTGTGTGTGTATAATGGGATATATAGATATACAGAGATTCATATAGATATATTCCAAGTCTGTGGCCATAACTAATGGCACATGACTGGGGAATAATAGTGTCCAGTTTCCTAAAAGGATGGTTGTGTTTCATATCCATTATACCCAGAGAAAAAGGCTGTAATAGTCCCCTAGAAGCAATAGAAATACACTGTGATACAATAAATGTTCCAGGCATTTTGCTATTATTGAAGCATTACAGCTGTGCTCTGGCTCTTTCTTATCTAATAGCACTCTCAGGCCACCTCTGCTAAATTCCCACAGAAGTAGCAAATGACACAACTAGAAAAAAATAAGTTTATCAAATTAAAAGGAAAGCCAAGGGAAAGCATAACCCCAGAAAATCATTCATACTCGAGTTGCACAAATCATTATTTAAAGGAGTCTGAATTGTCCCATCCCTTTCTGGGCTACGTATGGAAGTAGGAAGTGGTAAAGCTCCACCTTACACCTTTCCTTATTGTGCACATGACTAATAGGCAGCACTGCTCAATTAAAACTTATTTCTTTTAAAAAGCAAATAAAAAGAGAAAAATGGAAGACAGCAGAGAAAACCCTCAAGATTTCCCTTCCTACTCATTGGTCAAAGTCCCTCATTAGGTGGGGAGAGGACACATGTTCAAAGTGAGCAAAACCATTTGTCCTTTCCATACTCCTTCATTTGTAGAGCAAGGGGGAGCATGTGGAGTTTGTTTTTGCAGATACCATCTAGTCTCAGAGTAGGCTGTTAGGAAGCTGCAGTCTAGCACCTGTCATCCTATCTTATGAACAGGTGGAAGATACAGAACTCATCTAGCTTGTACTATAGCCACAGAAATCAGGGAGCCTTTGCATATAAGAAAAATAGACTGCAAAGAGAAGTTTTGAAGAGAGGACAGAGAGAACTCCTGAATGCAAGCTAAACATGTAACATGTAACAACTCAGTTGCTTCCAGTCTCATTAAAGACTCAATACATCACCATTTTACAAAAATCAGGGCAATGTTTCAAACTAAAATCCAAAATAACGTTCTGCTCCTTTGAAGTTGCAAAATGATAATTTATTTCGCTTACAAAGACATACTATTGTGATTTTTTTTTTCTTTTTTTTGTTCCCTCTAGCAAGTGCACAGCATTACTTAAGTATATATGCAGGAAAACTGCAAAACCAGACCTTGTGTTATCTGGGCATTTATAGTCATCCTTAGAGTCATTCTTACTGATACACATTGCACCATATGTGTCCACAGATCTTTACAGAGGTACAGAAAGACAAGCTTCTGCCACCTGGGGTGTCAGCTATCCAATTAAAATTAAAACTACAGAAGTGATTAAAACAGAAGGAGAAAATGAAAGAAAAAAGGACAAGTAGGAATGGTTTATACCACAGGAGACAGCTCTCTTGTGAAGAGCAGTGTGCATTTCTTTTTCCACTGTATTACTTTAAACGTAACTGCTTTAAAATATTACAATTTTAGTATCATTTTAAGTATTTATTTTCTGTAAAATATAGGTTCTATGAAAATCTTGTGTTCCAAAAGGATTTCAATGAAAAATACTGTGACTGCTTGTATGGTTTGCAGATCCACAAAAAATTATTTTTTACAAGCCCAAACTTAGAGGAGAATATGGAAGTTCTCCAAAACAGGAAAGCAACTGCGGAAAAAAAAAAAAAAATCACTGACTGCAGCAGAAGTCAGTACTGACATCCTGAGGGTTTCATGGAAGAATGAAACAGCCAAATAGCACAGTGAGCCAAAAGCCAAGTAGAAGTCAGGAAGTAACATGAAGGGGGACAAAAACAGAAACAAGCTTACACAATTTTGAAAGGAACAAATAGCTAGAACCACACTCTTGAAGCAGAAGCTTAGTAAAGAGAAGTGGATGAAGTAATGATGAGAGATTATCTCAACAGCATTTTGCAAGGATTATAGATAGCAATGTCAAAAAGAAAATAACCAAATGGAGGAGGCTGCAGCATGAGAATTGTCATAAACAAAAGAAACTGGGAAAAAAAAAAAAAATCACTGACTGCAGCAGAAGTCAGTACTGACATCCTGAGGGTTTCATGGAAGAATGAAACAGCCAAATAGCACAGTGAGCCAAAAGCCAAGTAGAAGTCAGGAAGTAACATGAAGGGGGACAAAAACAGAAACAAGCTTACACAATTTTGAAAGGAACAAATAGCTAGAACCACACTCTTGAAGCAGCAGCTTAGTAAAGAGAAGTGGATGAAGTAATGATGAGAGATTATCTCAACAGCATTTTGCAAGGATTATAGATAGCAATGTCAAAAAGAAAATAACCAAATGGAGGAGGCTGCAGCATGAGAATTGTCATAAACTATTATGATGTAATTTTGGAAAGGAATGTGCAGGTTTTAGAGAAGTGAGAGGAACAATTAATTAGAAACTTTCCCAACATATACAACTACACTGTCCAGAAATCCTCTTGTTCCAATGGCTCTTCTCTTCCAAATACATTGAAACAACAGGAATCCAAAAGTATTCATAGAGAGGGAAATTAAGAGAGGGGACAAGGGTTGTGGTGTCAGTCATTCCCCCTACACACCTATCAGCCCCAAATAATCTCCAGAAAGAAGAAATAATAGTTAAGAACCTGAACAGAGAGAAGAGTCAGAAATGGCACTCTGGTTATTTGACCAGATGGCTGGAGTGCAACAAACTCACTGCCACCAACTGAAAAGGTACAGTGAAGGGAAAGGGGGCAAATGATGAGAGCTAAAATTCTGTATTAGCAGTGGGAGATCCAGAATTTGTCAGAGAGAATTAGAGATACAATACTAAACAGAAAGGAAAGAGGTCAAATTTGGAGTCATCTGAGGCAGATCAAATGGTATCTGAAGTCAAAAGATTCCTTATGGTCCCAAAGAGCAGAAGAATAGAAGTGCAAAGCAACAATGGCCAGGGAAGGAACTCACAGAATACAACAATGGACTAAAAGAGGAGGAAAAAAAATGATCCTTAGATGTAGGAAAAAGAGAGCCATCAATCACCTTTTTGAGAATACTGTGAGTGAAGAGAAACCATGAAAACCAAAGACATGAAAGAAGCAGCTGAGCTAACACAAACAAACAGCTTTAGGAGCCAAGAGGAAAGTATGAAAATTGGCATCATTATAAAGACAGAACCACAAGGGTGATAGAAGTTACTCCATACAGTAGGTGTTACATATGAGCAGTCTATGATGAAAATGAGAGCAATTCTTTGTTGTATATGACATTCATGGAGAAATTTGGTTTGATCTATAACAGTTCTCTCCTGCTTTCAAATGTTTCAATTTAGTAGCAATAAAAATCCCTATGAATTCTAAATGCAATTCTAATTGTGCTTCTAAATGGTAGCTTCACAAGTATGTTACAATAAATACAAATTAGAGGTAAATTCAACCTTAATTATATCTAGCAAGTTTTATGTCCTAATTAAAAATGGTATTCTAACAATAAAAATTACTTACCACCTGAATTAGCTCTGCCACAATTGTCTAATCTTCCTAAACATTCTTTGTGTGCTCCAGCTCCACATTTAGAACATAAATAGCCTTGATAAAACGTTCCCCTGTAAAATAAAATTAATAGTGATACATTAGAGTAAATAAATTCTAACATAAAGGTAATAAGAGATATGGCAGAAGGTATTAAAAGACATCTGCTGTTCTGCATAATGACAGTCCTCTAAGGTTGAAGAAAAAGTGACAAATGACAAGCAGCTCATCTGCTTTTTGTCACTACTAGTCGTTTAAAAATCACAACCAGATAGTTCTTCTGGACTACTTGTAGAATAACAATCTCCATTTCATTTTAGCCCAAAGCAACTTTGGCACAGTTCGCTTGAAATTGCACCATTATGTAAGTATCCCACTATATGTACACTTTGTTTCATCTCAATGAGCATATGCTTGGGCACTATGAAGTGTAAGATCTATTTCAAGATAGTTGTAAACGTGAATATATTCTTGACTTTAAATGTGTTCAGATAGATAGGTAGGTATATATATACCTGGGTACACTTCAGCTAATATTCAGGACTGCTAAATAAGGAGTCTCTTCCCATATTGTAAATGTTCTCCAGTTCCCCCCAATAAACTCTAATCTGAATTTCAATCTGAGGAAACTGATTTTTTATTTTGCATGGCTTTTCTCTTAGGTATGGGGTTTTTTTACATGTACCTGTGAGCGATTAAATGAGATCTACTGGTGTGTCTGCTTACTCTTCATAGGAGACTTTTCTGTCTCCGAGATGTTTCCGACCAGTTTCGAGCGGTTATGCATCCTATTCTAACATGATACCTTCAGCTTGAAAGGAAAATCAGGTGTCTCATATGGAACACAGGATTGAATGAGTTAAACCTTAATGAAATGTACAGCAACTGCTATTTACGACAGCAACTTCTAGACTGTTAGCACTGAAATATATTTAGTTAGATTCAGCAGCTCAGTATTTTGAAGTATCAGCATACACGAACTCAAATACAAGTAGGAAGTATAAAAATATTTTAATGCATTCTTCCATTTTTTGTTTTTTTCACTATTCACAGGACTCTAACACACTCTCTAGATGAAAGTATAGGACATAACATTATCCTTCACTACAGATGCTTCTAAGACTAGGATTTTATCCCCACTTAAAGATTAGGCACTAACATTCAGATTTATTTTTTTTTTTCAAGTATTTACGTAATAGCTTATGTTTGAAGCTTAAAATGACAATCGACTTTATAAAGCGATTTAGGCACTTCATAAGGCTCAATCCAGTAGGATTTATACCACAAGGTAACGCTAGGGGATACCCAAGCTACCTTGGAGCAAATTGGCATGCCTATGCAGCACCATGCAGCACCTTGCAGGCTGCCTCCTGACAGCAGAACAGCCGTTTCTCAGCAACAGCAGTTCCTGCAGTAACAGACACAATGACTCAACTACACTGCTTCAATTTCAGAAATCAGCCCTGACATCTCTAAGTTCAGGATTTCTGCACCAATCTTCAGTCACATAGACCTTAGTGCACTGAGAAAATATAAAATTATCTACACCTCTGAAAATCCAGGTCAATCTAACTGTTCAGAAAAAAAAGTCTGGAAAGGAAAAAATACTTGACAGGGAAGAACAGACTTGAGGTTCCTTTATTCCATGCTCATGCTTAACAAAAGCACTACCCATATTTCAAATGCCCTTTCTATAATGCTGTGGCTACGTTTTTCAGAACATCAACAATAAACAACATGAGCACCTGAACCGGTCAAAGTTTACAAAGCTTTTGCATCTTCACCTTACACTATGAAATTTAGGTTCAACACATACCTCTATACCATTGGACATTCTGTATTTAAAAAGAAAAAAACCCCATCAGGATAGCTCAAATAATGAATGAAAAACTATATATGTGCACACTAGGTATTTTTCAGAGGAAAGAGGCAGAAGATATTAATTTCCCAGCTTAAGTTAGCCTTTCAAACATGAAAGCATTAGTTGTCTGCTAGTGTTTCTTATCTGGCTTTGCAACAGCTGTCTTGAATTTGTCTACATACTTGGGTTCAGAAATGTCTCTTAATGACTCAGTTATTTTTTGTCTCACAAAGCAATCTTCCCATATCAAACATTTATGAGCATCAGCATCATCTGAATTTCTGAAAAAATATTTCATTTCTTGTGACTGGTGGTCACAAGCAACAGAATCCCTGGAAATTGGGCTTGCAGGCAACACCAGATTTTGAAGGAGTGTTGATCTGCTTGAGGGTAGGAAGGCTCTGCAGAGGGAACTGGACAGGTTGGATCAATGGGCCAAGGCCAATTGTATGAGGCCAAGTGCTGGGTCCTGCACTTTGGCCACAACAACCCCATGCAATGCTACAGGCTGGGGGAAGAGTGGCTGGAAAGCTGCCCAGCAGAAAAGGACCTGGGGGTTCTGGTGGACAGCCAACTTAATATGAACAAGTAGTGTGCCCAGGTGGCCAAGAAGGCCAATAGGATCCTGGCCTGTTTCAGGAATAGCATGGCCAGCAGGAGTAAAGTGATTGTGTCCTTGTTCACAGCACTGGTGAGGCTGCACATCAAGTACTGTGTTCAGTTCTGGGCCATTCACTATAAGAGGGACACTGAGGTGCTGGAGCATGTCCAGAGAAGGGCAACCAAGCTGATGAAGGGTCTAGAGAATAAGTCATATGAGGAGAGGCTGGGGGAACTGGAATTGATTACGTTGGAAAGAGGAGGCTGAGGGAAGACCTCATGGCCCTCTACAACTACCTGAGAGGAGGTTGTAGGGAGGTGGGTGTTGGCCTCTTCTCTGAAGCGAATAATGACAGGGATGAGAGGGAATGGTCTGAAGTTGTGCCAGGGGAGGTTTAGACTGGATATTAAGAAGAATTTATTTACTAAAAGAGTAGTCAAGCACTGGAATGGGCTTGCCCAGGGAGGTGGTGGAGTTACCATCCCTGGAGTTATTAAAAAAATGTGCAGATGTGGCATTTCAGGACATGCTCTAGTGGGCATAGTGAATGTTGTTTGGTCGAGTTTGTGGGGGATTTTTGGGGTTTGTTTTTTTTTCCCCTGTGGTGGATAGTTGGAATCTGTGATTTTAGAGGGGTTTTTTTCTAACCGTAATGATTCTGTGATTATGTGAACCAGCTCAGTCACAACTAAATCATTTAGTCTTACATAAGAACTCCTGTATTAAATAAAGTAGTTCTCATAAGAGTCATGATAAAGCAGCCTTATGATAAATGAGGAGAATCTTTAGGTTTTGAGCTTTTAATAGCACTCCTGATATTTGGAAATCTGCACACAATGAGAAGCATTATGTATAATTTCATGCCTTCTCTGTCTTGGACGGGTAACCAGCCATCTATGTATTTTCCACATATTCCTTTAACTCAGATATTTCACCAATGAAAAGAAAAATAAATCTTACCTCAGAAGCATCTGACAGACTTTGCAAGATGTCACACGACTGAAGGTATGCATTTTGAACTCATGAAAGCTTGTATCTGCATAATCTGGCCGTATGTTTGACCTAAAAAAAAATTGAAAATCTGCTTTAAACCAATGAAATCTAGAACATAATGGAGGAAATTCACAGCAAGAAATCTGAATCCACAAACAACTAGTTTTATTTACACTTTAATGTTTATCACTGAGGTGAACTAGAAATATGGACCTTCCCACACGTCTTGAAACAAAATCTGAATTATGATATTGTGCAGATCTAGCCCTTAAAATACACCCTGTAACTACCATATTTGTCACAATAGCTAGACAACTGTAAGGTCCCTGCCAACCCTAGCCATTCTATGATTCTATGTTTTTATGATTATCTGGGTTTTATTACTGTTCAAGTAACTACAATAATTATATGGACCTAAAGAACACTCACTTTTTCATTCTCAGATACTTTGTTATGTGAATATACAAAGAAGAGCAGCTCACACTAAGAACTAACACACTTGAAACCATGAGCAGCAAATTTGGAACAGTTAGGTCACAATTACACAGCAATACTCTGGATAACACAAATTCACTGGGGTTTGACTAGTTGTTAAATGAGTTGTCCAATGCTTACAGGTGTTGCTACACACACTTAACAAAGCAGAAGATTATTATACTGCTAAGATACAAACACACTATTGACAGACTGACTTAAGAAGACAAATCTTATGTACAAAGCACTGGTCTATTACTGCACGTGTGTTTTGTTTATCCTCCCCTACTGATCCCTCTTAAAAGCAAGAGTATTAATTTAAAATGTCCCACTCATCACTCATTTAAATTTTACATAATCCATTCAATTTCTTCTGTAATTTTCCTCATTTCCAAGACCAGGCAGATAACTGTTTGTTGGGTTTTTTTATTCAATAACATCCCCAGACTTAACACTGTCAAAACCACTAAAACTGAAATGCTAGGTGCTTAATTTAATACTAGACAGTATCAGACAAGAAAAAAATATATAGTAAGGATTCATGTATTTTCAAATATTATTTATACTGGAATGTTTAGTTTTCCATAAATTCCTGGTGTTTTTCTAGCAAAAACATAGGAATGCATGATGCATAGGACTTAAAATAGGAAAAAACCCCTGAAGGTAAAAATGTAAGAATATAACATTCAAAGGAAAGACTAGAAGCTTTTCCAACACAGAGAATTACAAATTCATGCATTAAAGTTGCAAATATTTAATAAATAGGTTTCATTTTTATGTATTATAAATAACTTCTAGAGTAAAACATAGAGCAGCCACAAATTGCAATGAAACCTAAATATAGGTAACCATGCAAACATTGATCTCTCCAGGACTGAATGAAAATGCTTATGAAAAAAACATTCAAATAATCTTTTTAAGTACCTAGTGTCAGAAAGATCAGTCTTCTAACTTGCCTGCTGAAAGTAAAACTGTACTCAAAAAGCAAACAGGATTTTGCTTCTACGTGTGAGAATAGCCTAACACTCAATGCTGTTTTAACTAGCTCACTAGTGTCTCTCTATCTGCTGACTAAAACAGGAATGGATACTACCTACTGACAGCAGGAAGGTACAGGTATTGAGATAAAATTAAACTCAAAAACGAACTTTTTAATCCAAAAGATCAGTGTATTATTTTTGGGCTGTTAACTCTGCAGAGCAAGGCCTGTATTTCACAACATGTTTGCAAGGTGCTGCTGAAACCTCTTTGGCTACACAGTTAAATATGGACAATCCTGAGAACTCCCTAGAACAATTTACAGTATTTACATTCCCAACAAAAGTTGCTTTTTGTTGACCATTTGTTTCAGACTAGAATAGCTTGCAAAACCATCAGCCTAATATGCAGAAACTCATCATATTTCAAAACATATCAAATTAATCCTCACAACTGGACCATTTTTCAAGAACAAACCAAAGAAAAAAATCCTTTCGTTTAGAGCAATCTTCAAAAATAAAAAGCAGAGTGGATGAAAATAAAAAACTACAACCTCACACAGGTAGTTGTTTAACACAAGCATATGACTATATTCCTCCTGTATGTAAAAATTCTCTTCTATTCTTCTCTCAGACTTCCACAAAGACTGAAATACATGAACCACTGAAAATGGTGGTTTAGTTTTTTTCATCCTTCTTTATATTGAAAGTAGTATTTTAGTTTCTTTATATTTTATGAAGCCATTCAGATTCATTTTACAGTTCTTAGTAGAAAAAAGCTATTCTTGAGAGGAGGAAAAAAAAAGCATAGTCCTAAAATGTCAAAGAATGAAGCTATTGCCTCACAGAGAGCTGTAACAAGGCCCTTCTTTCAAGGCAAGGTGTTTTTTTGTACCTATGGCCTAACTGATCAGATAATAATATCCTAAACAATACAGAAGATTTATCCAGATGAACAGAATTACAACTTCAGCTGTCTATGCTAAAATTTGGTTACAATTGTCCTACTTGCATCTGTAGAGGAATACAAAACTGAAAACATACAATACAAACCTTGGAATATAATGCAAACTTCAGTTTATCTTGTTCACTATTAAATACAGGAGGACCTCTTTTGGTTCCAAACAGTATTTAGTTCTTCAGGATCATAGAAATGTATCATAAAGACTGAATCCCTGTGTTTCTTTAAACTTCACCAGCTTTTACTTTAGTGATTTTAAGATTCTAATGATTAGTTCAATAAATTATGTAAAAATTTGGGTTTTTTCAGTACCTGCAAACCTTTCATGCTCCCTATCAATTCACTTCCATCTAACTTCATGTTAGCTACTGCCAAGCTAGCACAAAGATCTTCCAAAATAGCTTTTTTTAAAAGACTTGAGCCTGAGTAGGTCTTCCAGGGACCTACAGCAACCAGTCATAAATCCAAAAGGTATTTTTTATTAAGTTAGCTGCTAGCCCTTCCTTCTACCACTCAAAAAATTTTCGTTTTCCTTATTTTCCCCCTGCACAGCCACATTACCCAGAAGAAAAAGCCTAATAATCCCTAACAACACAGGTTATAATTATAATAGAAAATGTTCTTTGTAAAGAAATAGCCTATTAAAAATATTAATATTTAGATATATTGTTATCTGTTGATTCTTGTTAGACAAGACAGAATTTCATCACTGCTCAAAAAAAACATTCACACTTAGGCAAAAGTGAAGTTTACAGTAATCAATATTTTGATAAGTAGAAAAGAACAGTGCAAAATGAAAAATAAAATGCTTACTCTGAGGACATGAGCACTATAAAGTGAATCACAAGATTGAAAGATAATGACAGAAAAAAAAAACCACCATAATGTGTATTATCTACTATAAAAATAAAGGCAGAATAAGAAAAGCTTTTGAAAATACATATATTGTAATTCTAACGGTGGACAGGAAAACTTACAGTCTGACCTCATCTTCCATGCTTCATTATGACAAATTCAGTAGTCCAATTGCACATCACATCAGACAAGTCTGAGATAATGTACAGTGATGCACTGTAGCAATATATATCAAGTAGCAAGTCTTCATTGTAAAGTCTGAAACTTAATGAGTCTAGAGGTTTGATATTTTAGTTTTCAATATATTGCTTTTCAACAAAACTAAAATAATGCAAAAATAATCCAGCACAGGAAAGTTTCCAGGTAAAGATTAAGCACAACTCATCTGTGACTGTCCAAGCCCAAATACTGTGAGGACCACAGGAAAACTTTTTTATGGCTAGCATTAAGAAAATCTGATTTGGAACTTAAACTATGTTCCCTCTCCATCACAGTGGAACAGTCACTAGTCAAACTGTCTCACAGGTTCTTCAGTCCTTCTTCCACAACAACTTCAACTATTGGATGCCCCAGGCTCATGGCAAATGAAATGTTTCATCTATTTCTGCTGTCAAAAAATCTTGACAAGTGGCCAGAGCAGAAAGTCACACATGTACCAGGAATATTTAGTATGAGGTAAATAATAACAGAGAATATATTCTTCATTTTATGGTAAAACTCTGTCTCTTATTTTCACAAGCAATGTGGGGAGTCAAAAGTAGTTTCCCCTTCCTCTCTTCTACTTTCTCCCCAGGCTGTTTTAACTCCTACACTCTAGCAGAGACAAAAATGTCAGTATACAGAAGCAGAGTGAATCTGTAACTAGGAAAATTTTTCCTTTGCCTTAGTTCAGCAGCAGACTTTTTGTAACAGACAGTCATGAGTGCCTTCTCCTGCACAGTGCTGGGTCCCCATAAGCAGATTTACTCCAGTCACTACAGCAACATCTTAGAGTTGTCCCTGAGCCTTTTCAGTAAAGCTTTGTCTTTACATTATTTGCAGAACAATAGCCCCACTGGGACCAATTCACTGCTACACCACCAACCCAGAGACCTGCAGATGCTTGTCTTGCTTTCCTTCATCATTTGGACATAAAATTCTTGTCTCTCCAACAGCCATGAGAGCCACCATTCAAGGAGCAGAACTACCATCTCCTTCAATCAATTCTGCATCTCTGAACAGATCTTTTGTCTGTCAAGTCTGCAGAGTTCAGTGCAGAAGAGAGTTATCCAGATATTTTATTTCCCTCGACATCATCAGACTCCAGAGCACTCCATTTTTGCTGACCTTCTGTGTATGAAATGTTCCCCTTTTAAAATATTTCTCCACATTTGTAGTGCCACTTCTTTCTACTGACTCTTACTCCTCAAAGGAGTAAATTAATCATAGGCCAACTCTCTCTTCAGCCACCCACGTAACACAGTGTCTTTATAAATGGTGTCAGAAAATATCAAGTTATTAACAATCCCACACAAGCTTTTACAGCCAGATTGTTCTAGGAACAATCTTCATGTAGATTAATGGCATAGATGACCACAGAGTAATCCTATAGATAGCCAAAAATTATCTTGTCAGACTCATTTAGGCACCTATTCCTATGGAATAAGGAATAAATTCTCTCTACTGTCCTAAAATATTTGTGCATACGAATAAAATGAAACAGTTCAATCTACAGCTTCCCATAGTGGTCTAGGCAACAGTTCAAAAACTCAAATTCTTAATCCTCAGTACACAAACACATCAAAATCAAAATAATAATGCTG